GCTCACCGGGGGACGAGGGGGGGCGCGGCTCACCGGGGGACGAGGGGGGGCGCGGCTCACCGGGGGACGAGGGGGAGGACGGGGGGGCACTGCTCACCAGGGGACGAGGGGGAGGGCAGCGGGCGGGCTGCTCACCGGGGGACGAGCGGGAGGATGGCGGGGGCACTGCTCACCAGGGGACGAGAGGGGGGGCGCGGCTCATCGAGGGACGAGGGGGGCTCACCGGGAGGCCGTTGCTGGTGGCAGAGGGCGACAGGCTCTCAGGCTGCGGGCTGCCAGCCGCCCCGGTGGCACCACGCCCGTCCTTGCGCAGCAGGGTCTCCACGCGCTGGATGATGTCCTGGATCCGATGGATGAAGCTGTCCTGCTCCGACTGGAGGATGAACTCGTTATTGACCTGTGGGGCCGAGCAGGTGGGTCAGTGCTGGGCGTGGGCCCCCCAAACCCTGCCGAGCCCAGCCAGGCCCTGCACTCACCATGACGGCCGCAATCTCCTCCGGGTTGTCCCCGTCCAGGTCGAACTTGAAGGTCACCATCTTGTTGTTGTAGGTCTGCAACTGGCACTCCACCACCCGGTCGCTCTTGTCCGAGATCTGCGGGGCAGGGGCAGCTCACAGGCAGCTGCGGAGACCCCCCCCGCCACCCCCCGCCGGGAGCCAGGTAACGCACAGGGGGGGCCAGCGCTTGCGGTACCAGGCCTGTGCCAGCCCCGCTTCTCAGCCTGTGCAGATGGGTGGGTTTGGGGGGCCCTTTTGCCCCCTCAATGGAAACATGAAGGGCCGATCGGCGCTTCTGCCCCCCGCGTCGTTCCCTGTGAACTGCACATCCACACAGGGCAGGAGAGCGGGACCCGGGGCGCTGGAGCAGCCGCCGCGGTGCCCCCATGGGGCCAGGGCCAGCTAGGAACCAGGGAGATCGGCCCCCCGTTCCCTGCCACCCTGACCTCCCCCCGACAGCCCCTGCCCCACACTCCCATTCACAGCGAACTTCCGCCCCTCGGAGCCTGTGGGCGAAGGCAGGGCAGGTGCCGGTGGCGCTTACGTTGGTGATGCGCAGCCTCGATCTGGCTCGGCGCCGCAGCAGCTTCCCCGAAGCCCGCTTGGCCGGCAGCTTGGCGTTCTGCTCGCTGGCCGAGAGCCCTTCGCAGCCGTCGCTCAGGCCGGACGCCACGTCAGACGCGTAGCTGGGGGGAGGCCGTAGCACCACAGCACAGGGGCAAGAGTTACTAATGGCCGATCCCACCTGCCCCAGCCCAATATCCCCCGTAACCCACCCTGATCCCCCTCTCAGCGACCTGTCCCAGCCCCTTCCGGCCACCACCTCCCAGGGGGGCAATAGCTGACTCCTCCACCAAGGGGCTGGGGGCACAGCGCTGACGGAGCAGGGCCCAGACGTACCTGTCCACTGGGGAAGAGAACTCGCTGGCCGGGGCAGACGGCAGGCGCTCCATGGGCGAGCTCACTGCGATGCTCTGCGGGGAGAAGCCGGAGTGAGGGGGCATCCTGGCACCCCCAGCAGCCCCCCAAAGGGGAGCGCCAGGTGCCCCTGTGGCAGCGCCAGGCCCCACTCACCACGGGGAAGCAGCTCTCTGACTGGGCAGCTGGTGGGCTGGAAGGGTCCCCGGTGGAGAAGGTGCCCGAGTGGCAGAGGGACAGGTCGGGCGAGTCCACGAACCCAGAGGAGCTCAGGTACCCGTCCGTCTCGCAGTCAGCTGGGGAGCAGAGAGCAGGGTGAGTGGCCAGCCCAGGGGCCCAGCCCACCAAATCCTGGCTGCCAGCTGCCCATGGGGGAGGGCCAGGGCAGGCTCCCCCCAGGAGCTGCCGTTTCTCGCCCCCCTTCCCCGGGAGAACGGGAGAGAAACAGGAGCAGCTGCCTCGAGCCATCACTGCCAGGGCGCCACGTTCCAGGCTCCCAACCATGCCAGCCGCAGATGCCAATGAGAGGCTGGGAGCTGCTCTCTCTGCACCCCAGGGAGACGCAGGCCAATGCCAGCCACACCCCTCCCCCTGCCCCGCGGTGCCCGCGCACTGGCTACGTACAGGTGGTGGAGGAGTAGCTGGTATGCCGGTACAGGAAGTGCTGGTGCTGATCTGCCTCGGGCTCCTCGGGCTCCGGGGGGAAGGTGCCCCCAAAGACAGAGTCCCCGGAGCCAGGCGTGGCCGGCGAGGCCTGGGGGGTGGCAGGCACCGGGGGGCACTTCAGCTCCTCCAGCAGGGGCAGGACGCCCGGCTGCTTCTCCTGCTCCTGGCGCCGCAGCTCATCCTGCACCCGCTTCACCTTCTCCCGCTTGCGCTTGATGGTGACCACGCGGTCCCGCACCGCCTTGGCCACCAGCTTGTAGTCCGCCTCGCACACAAAGCCCAGGGTCACCTGCAGGAGGTGCGGGGGGCGCGTCAGTCCTTGCCCCGGCCCAGCCTGGCAGAGCGATCCGGGCACAGGCGAGGTCAGGGCACCAAGGGACGGGGGGACTAAGGGATGGGGCTCGGTTGCGCCGGGGCAGCCCAGGCAGAGGGTAAGACGATCGCTGCCCCAGAACGGACCCTGCCCCCTGCACAAGGCAGCAGCGCCCGCTACAGGCAGCGGCAAGCCAGCAGCACAGATCCCAGCAGCTTCCCCTGCGCCAGAGCTGTGGGCAGCGTGGGTCCGCGGAGGGGACCGGGCCTGGCCCAGATCATTGTCTCCCCATCCCAGGTGGGGGCAGGGCTGCTCCCCCTCCCCCCACGGGCACCTACCATCTCCTGGGCCACCTCCTCGGCCACGTCCTTGTGCAGCTCGAAGAGGAACTCGAGGGCGTTGTTGTCCTTGTACTTGCCGTGCAGTTTCTTGGTGTCGTCCATGCGCAGCCAGAGCTTGAGGCCGGACTTGACGCCGTCGTCCTCCTCGGCCAGCTCCACGTGCACCCCCGTGTCCTCCTGGAAGAAGGAGTGGTCCAGCAGGTCCTGGATGGTGTACCTGGCGGACAGTTCGGGGTCAGCGCAGCCTGGGACCCTGGGGGGCCGCTGCCCAGCCAGGGAACCCATACGGCACAGGGACCCCATCCAGCACAACTGGCACCACGGGACAGAGCCCGGCACATGGACTGAGCCGGCACCAGGGCACCTTAGCTCATCTGGAACCCGGGCCGTCAGCCCAACCCGGCCAGCCCCCTCTACCCCAGAGGCCTCCAGCCCCACAGCCCTGCCCCCCCCCCAATCTCAGCCCCCCCCCTCCCCAAGCCCTGTGGCCCCACACTCCTGCCCTGCCGCGCCCACCTCTCAGCCTTGTTCATGCGAATGCAGCCCTCAATGATTTCCTTCAGCTCTGGCACCTTCACCTTGTAGAAGCTGTTGGGTTTCATGCCCTGCAGGGAGACATCCCGACAGTCAGGCAGGTCCCAGGCCAGGCTGTGCTCGAGCAGCTGTGACACCCCCTGCAGCGCTGCGAGCAGACATCCCTGAATGTGCAGGGGGCTGGACTGAGGTGAGACTGGCCCTGTGAGCAAGTGACATCTGGGGCTGCCCTCTGGCTCCGGGGACCTGACTCCCAGTACCCGCAAGTTGAGCTTGGAAGGGACCCCACAGGGAGGGGCCGGGAGGAAACACCCCTCACCCCCGGGACAGAGACCCCGATTCAGGCAGGCAAGAGCCAGTGGCTCAGAGTGAGCAGAACCACCCAGCACCAGTCCCTGGCCATGCCCCTCCCTGCCCCGAGCGAGGGGGCAGAGCAGTTCGAGGGGACGGGAGGTCATGGAGCAAACCGGCACCACGCTGGATCTGGCTGGCTCAGGGTCGTTAAGGCTGCAGGCTGGCCCAGGGCAGCGGAGCGGACCAGGTTCACAAAGAGCTTCCTGGTTCCGCCCCATTAACGCTGGAGGCTGCTGCTCCCAGGTCCTGGCACGCCAGGGAGCAGCGCGTGGACAGCCACGCGGCCTCCGCCAGACAGAAACCTGCGGCGGGGAGCAGAGCAGGGGCAGCTGGGAGACACAGCTATGGGGGAATGGGGCCTGCCTGCAAGGGCGTCCAGGAGAGCCGCTCGGCTCCCCCTTCTGTCACCAGACAAGGGACCCAAGAACTCAGCCGTGGCTAGCGGCTGACCTGGGCATCTCTGCCCAAGGGTCTGGGCGTGGAGCTGCTCCCAGAGCAGCCTCAGGAAGGAGGGAACGTCTTAGCTAAGGGCCAGGCTGGGGTTGAGCAGCTCCGGGGGGGAGGTGTCCCCGGGCCCCCAGAGTGGCTCCGGTGCGGGAGGGGTTTCCCTGGCAGAGCGGTGCCGGCTGGGGGGTCCCCGCATCGAGGCGCAGACGCAGCCACTCACCGAGGTGACCTTGCGGTAGATCTGGGCGGCGTTCTGGCACTCCGAGTAGGGGTACTCCGAGGTGGCCATCTCCAGCATGCACATGCCGAAGGCGTACACATCCACCGCCTCGTCGTACTTCTCCTCGTACATCTCGGGGGCCATGAACTCCGGGGTGCCTGGGGGCGCGGGGGACACAACTCAGCACCAAGCTGCGCCTTGGGGCTGGCTAGCCACACCCTGCCGGCCTGGGGGGGGGGGGGGAGGGGCTGGCTGCAGGGGAGGCTGCGCTCAGCAGAGCCAGGCTGGTGTTGGCCACCCCAGAGGTCCCATGGCGCAGGGCGCCCCCCGGACCGCGAGTGGCCCCTCAGCCAGGCTATCCCGGGGAACCCGCCCCAGGGGCCCGGCCGCTCGCACGCCCAGCGCCCCGGTACCTATGACGCTCTTGGCGAAGGAGGCCCGCTTGAGCGTGGCCAGGCCCAGGTCCCCGATCTTGACGGAGCCGGTGGGGCCGGTGATGAAGATGTTGTCACACTTGAGGTCGCGATGGATGATGGGGGGCGAGCGCGTGTGCAGGAAGTGCAGCCCCTTGAGGATCTGCCGGCTCCAGCGCTGCAGGACCTTCAGCTTCATCTCCTTGAAGCGCTTCAGGTAGCTGCGAGGGCGACACGGGCGGCATGAGGGGGCGACTCCAGCTGCTGCCCCCGGCCAGGCGCCACGGAGCTGGGCAGCAGGGTCCCGGCGCAGGCTGCGTGGAGACTCTTCTCACCCAGGCAGCACACACAGCCGGCTTCGCAGGTGTCAAGGGCCAAGCATGGCCTAGCGACGGCGAGCAGCCGGCGCTGCCTGGTGCAGCACAGCACGGCGAGAGAAGGGCGCCCGGGATGCACTGACAGCTGTTCCTGAGCCGGCGGGCGACACGCTGTGCAGTGGGGGCTCGGGGGTCGCGGAGCGCCTGGCAGGCCCTGGGCTTTGCCCCAGCACCCCCACCAGTTCTCAGGCCCACCCCGGTATGCGGCTGCAGCCCAGCTTGGCCGAGAGGAGCTGCTAGCTCTGCCCGGATCCTGCCCCGGCCCCTTCACGCCAGGCAGGGGCGGCTTGGAATGCAACTGGCCCACATGCCGGCCAAGCTCACTGTGCCAGCAACCACAGCCGTCACATGCAGGCCAGACAGGCTCCCCCCCCACCTGCTAGGACCCTACCCCCTCTCCCCACAGGCCCCAGTGCCCCCTCTCCGCCTGCCACACAACCCCCACCCAGCCAGAACCCGGAGCCCTCCCCCCTGCCAGCCCAGCCCCGCTCACGTTTTCAGGGTGCCCGAGGTCATGAGCTCAGTGACCAGCACGATGCAGATCTGGCCCTTGATGGCCGACTTCCAGGAGTCGTAGAAGCGGACAATATTGGGATGCTGCAGGCCCTTCAGCATCTCCACCTCCTCACTGAAGCGCTGCCGTTCAGCCTTCGACAGCTTCCGAGTCTGCAAGGAACCCACAGGGGAGGCATGAGTGGCCACTGGGGGGCGCCCTCTGGCACAAGGGACCCGTCCTGGCCTGAGCCAGCCCCATACCCCCGCCCCCGGGCCCCCCCCCTCGCTCCCCCATACCCCTGCCACGGAGCCCCCACTCGCTTCCCCTTACCCCTGCCACGGAGCCCCCCCTCGCTCCCCCATACCCCTGCCATGGAGCCCCCCCTTGCTCCCCCATACCCCTGCCACGGAACCCCTCTCTCGCTCCCCCATACCCCTGCCACGGAGCCCCTCAAAACAACCCAGCCACTAAGAGCCTCCATGCTCCCACCCAGAGATGGAACCCCTATTGTTTCCCCTATCCATCCTCCCGGCTCCCTTTGCCAGCCACATACACGGCAGCAAGGCCACGCCAAGCTCCCAGTACAGAGCCCAGACTGGCTGCGTGGGCACCGGTGCCCCGCATAGACAGCAGCCATGGCCTGTCCCAGCAGCCCCGTGAGGGCCGCTGGCGCTGCCCAGGGCAGCAGCATTACTCACGTAGCAGAGACGAGCGGAGCCAGGCACCATGGCACCAGCAAGGCCACGCAGAGCGTCCCCCCGCCCCCCCACGCCCTGGAGCCAGCGCAGGGCTGGGGAGCTGGCAGCCGCTAATCGCGCCGGCTGGACGCACTGTGCAGCCCAGCTGCCAGACTCCCCCAGAACGCCCCGGCCCAGCTTATCAGCACCAGAGTCAGCCCGTATCTGGGTCAGGATGGACATGGAGTGTCGGGTGGGGACAGAGCAGCCCGGGGCTGCGGGCACAAGAGCGGAAATTCACTCACCTCCCAGCCCCAGAGAGCAAGCAGGGACAGCAGGACCCTTTGCCCAGCGAACAGCCGGGCTCTGCACAGAGAGAGCCGGGGCCAAACCAAGCCCCCCGTGTGCCAGCCCCCGCAGGGGAAGGACGTGTCTCCCCCGCCCCTTCCAGGGAGCAGAGGGGCCCGACAGGGACAGGGCAGGGGTGAGACTTTTTGGCTTACTCTGGATTTGCTGCTCCCCTGTTAAGCCACATGCTGGCTGGAGGGAGGGACTGGGCCAGCATTTCAGCGGCTGGCTGGAGTGGGCACGGTGCCCACGCAGCACGCTGGGGTGTTAGCGAGACAGAAGCCGCCCCCAGCCCAGCGCTGAGATTCTCCAGCGAGGACGCAGGTCACTGGCTGGTGAGGCAGCGCAGGGCCCCTCTCCCTCCTGCGCCCAGTGAGCCCAGCCAGAGGAGGCTGCCCACTCGCACGGCGCTGGGCATGCGCCCACGTGGACACGGAGTGACACCAACAAAGCCACCGGTGTCTGCACCTCCTGCTGCAGCTGTGGGCCGCGCAGGGCCGGAGATCGGCGCCACCTTTTATCCAAGGGGGGGCAAACCCGACTCCTCCCCAGCAGCCCACCCAGCCTGCCTTTGTGCCCCAGCTCAGGGCACGCACCTGCGTTCGCGCGGGGGCTCGTTTCCACTGGGGATTCCGCCCCAGCATAGCAGTCCTGGGGCATCAGTCACCAGCCCCTGCACAAGGGGGGGCCGAGGCCTGGTGACCCCCAGGTGCCAAGCACCCCCCACCCCGCGGCTCAGCAGGGCCCAGGTAGTTGGATCCCAATTCGCAGCCTGAGAACTTGTGACAAGAGACAGGAGGGAGCGCTCAGCGCCCCAGCACAGCTCCTGCCAGCCAATGCCCTGGCTAAGAGACAACTTGTGTGCACAGGGGCAGCGTGCCCTGGGCTGCCCCCTCCACCTGGCATAGCCCCCCCAGTGTCTCCCGCCCAGCCAGCATGGCCCCTCGGGCCAGCCTTGCACCCGTACACAAGGAACAATTCCTGCTGCCTCCTCGGAGAGCGGGCGGGCGGCTGGCGAGTGCAGACACAGGGCACCTTTATGGCAGGGGGCCACGCGAGCCTCAATGCCGCCTTTGTTGGCAGCACAGGCGCGTCAGGCTCTGGGCCCGGTTTTTCCATGTTCCTCCTGCTCAAGTTAATTAAAGTGGCAGCAGAAGTGGAGCTTTGACAGAGGCTTAAAGCACCGTGACTAGGAGCCCAGCCCCAAGGTCAGCAGGGAGGGCACAGGCACCTGCCCCCTGGGGCTCAGCCTGGCAGCTCCATCCCCTCACCAGGGCTGCTGGTGCCAGCCAGGACAGCTTCCCCTCCGCCCACAGGCCAGGCAAACGCCCATGAGTCCTGCTCAGCACACACACAACCCCTTCCTCCGCCCCCCCTCCCATTGCCTCCCCCACGCTCCCCCCTCCAGCCCCCCACCCCACAGCGCTCCTGCGTGCTGTCCAGGCTCTGGAGTCCCCATGCATTCCTGTCATGTGCTCCACAAACCAAACCCTCCCCTGGAGCCGTGCCTGGCCGCTGGCATGCTGGTAACTGTGCCCAAGGCCCTGGAGTCGCTGCCCTGCTCGCTCCCTCGTAGAACCCAGCACTGTCCGGAGAAACTGGCACAAGTGGAGGGCTGATCCCCCTGCCCCAGCGCCAGCCACTGCCCGGCCTGTGGCACCCTCTCCCTAGACAGGGGCCAGAACTCCTGTTCCCCCACCCGCAGGGCGCTACGGGGCCACAGCTCTCTCCTTGGCCCTGGCCAGTGATAATACTGGGGAGCCGGGCCTGGCGTGGAGGCGAGATACGCCAGCAGTCGCTGCGAGCCCAGTTTGCCTTGGCGTATCTTTAAGGCAGGCGCATGAAATGACATGAGCCTGGAGCAGCAAGAGCTGACTCCATCCATGGCCCCCGGTCGATTCCTGGCCTGCGCTCGAAATGCCGAATGTGCCGCGCGGGCGGCGTTTCCTGGCAGGGCCCTGCCTGCTGGGAGCGGGAACACTGCTCCTGGAGGGCTGCAGCCCTACATCCGACAGCAAGCACCCCCCTCTGCCCCTCCCTGATGAGAGCAGGGCCCATGGGAGCCTGTGGAGGGCTGACCCCCCTGCCCCAGCGCCAGGCAGCGAGCAGGCAGAGTGCAGGCAGGATCCGGAGCTGCCCGGCTGGAACAGCTCTCCACATCCCTGCACTGACAGCCAAAGAAACCAACGGCTCGCGGCTGCCGTGTTCCTAAACACTGGAAGCTGCTGGCTCCAGGGAGCCGTGCGCTCGGCCCCTTGGCTCGCAGGAGCCATAAATCAGCCCGGGAATCTTTCGTAATGTTTTCGTTGCATCATAACTGGCCCCGTGGCTGAGTTGCAGCTGCCCAGCGCCCCACATGGGGCTGTGCACAATCCCCTCCTTTCAAACCCACGTTCGGGGCCCTAACCCAGCCCAGCCCAGAGCAGGGAACCCGCCGAGACCAATGAATGGCACCTTTTAGATCCTGGGCAAGCGAACTGATCTCCAAGCCCCTCCTCTGCCAGTCCTGACCCATAGCAGCCCCTGCTAGTACAACCGAGGAGGAGACCACCATTCCAGCCTTGGCTTCTCTCGAACAAGTGCTCCCAAACTGAAATAGCAACCAACACATCCAGTGGCACCAACCTGAGACCCAGCAAACTCGTCAGGGACCAGCTGAGCCTCAGTTAATTACAAACAGCAGCCGGAAGCACTTGGGGAGTCACCTGAGAGCATTCCAGCCCCAGACAGTCCCCGGGCAGCTCCCCACCCCCAGTTTCCAGACCCAGAGGGGGGAGGGGAGGGGAGGGGTCTGGCCTGGCACAGGGCTGGGCTCCGGGAAGCCACACGTCTCCCAAGGTGCTCACGAGGAACCAGATCCAGGAACTCCGGAATCTGTTGCCCAAGCCTGCGAGCTGCTGCTGAGAGAACAGGAAGAGCCCCACGCTGCCCCCCACCCCAGGGGCTCACTGTGCCTGGACAGAGCATACGGGCTCCCCCAGATGGAGTGCTAGAATGCAAGGGGGGGATCACGCCACCCCCAGAGCTGCGAGGGCACAGCCTGCCCTCCAGTCCTGTGCCCCCCATGCCCGGAGGGCAATAACCAGGCTGGCACATGCTGCTTAGCGTTCTTGATACATTACCATTGAGATGTGGGGGCTACGACTGGGCGAGGGAGGGGCTAGGAGCCAGGATGCCTGGGTTCTGTCCTGGCACCCTTTCGGCAGCACTATGTTTGGTGAAAGTTCACCTTGTGGGCCAGGTGCCCCAGCAGCTCCACACAGGCCAAGATGGCCTGTGCCCAACGAACAAGCCCCAGGAGGGCTCTGCCAAGCAATGCCAGCAGCAACCCCCCCCAGCTCCACTCACTGAGAAGGGTCCCTAAGGCGTCTGCTCAGCATATGCATTGCCAGGTGATGCACCCCCCAGCTCCAGCAGCCTCGCTCAGCCCGGAGGGCAGGGACACAATGTACCCCGCTAATAGCCGCCGCGTGCACAGCAGTGCGACGCTCTGGGTCACAGACGCTGGAGCCGTCTAACAAGCTGGGATGGAAGCCCCCCCTCCCCCCACTTGCCAAGGCAGGGCTGGCCTCCTCCGGGCAAGGCTGAACCAAGGGAGTTCTGGCCAGTCCCTGTGGGCAGGGGGACCGGGACCAGGAGAAAAGCTGCAGTAAGTGTGTGTCCTGCACATGAGGAGAGGACCCGGGGCGAGCAATGAGCACTTGGAATTAAAGCCCAAAGCCGGGGATTCGCCGTGTGTTGGAGAAGCGCCACTGAGCTCCCCGAGGGCTCTGCAGACACCGTCTGCCTCCCGCCCCAACTCCCAGCTGAGGGGTCCCAGCAGTTCAGCAACCCAGAGCCACCGAGTCCCAAGTGCCAGAGCCGGCCGGGATCTCACTGCTAGGTCCCGCTGCCAGCCCGGGCGCCCCGCTGCTCTCATTGGCCCCTGCCGAGGTGGAGCTGGGGGAGGCGGTGTGGTATTTTTACACGTTTCTTCCTCTCCCAAGGTGTTTATGAGGCTCTGGCTACAGACCCAGCTCTGTGATGCCCTGGGCAGCAGAGCCAAGCAGCAGCCTCTGAAAGCCCCATTGTGCAGGGCCCAGCATCCTGGAGAGGGGACCAATTTACATAATTATGGTGCATTTATAGCTAAAAGCCTCTGCAGG